CACGAGTGAATTATAATATTCAAGCCTTGGCCTACAGAGTATTGAGAATGGTGTTAGACAATGCTGCAATGGTGTTGACCCGGTCAACTACGCACATCCAATTCTAATGAACGCGCTGCAAGTTCAGTTCCTTTATCATATTATATACTATAAATACTATTAATTAATTAGTACGTATCTGTTGTTTCGACTTTGCATATTTTCTTAATAAACGTGGAACATATTTAGCTTTCAAATCACCCACCACCAACGTCAATAATTAATGAAAAAGAAAGTTCGACGACATCCACAACGGCACCACCACCACCCAATTGCCAAAGCTGCCATGGATACCTGGATGGGCAATTAAAGCTACTAGCCTGCTATCATGGAGGATCTTTGCTCTATCAAAGCCTAACATCAATACGGACACAAGCAGAAACACCAAGATAAAGATTCACGTCTCTAACTTTAGTTAAACCTATTTTTGAGAATTCGATACTATTTTCTAGAAAGTACAAGATTTTATTGAATAATGGGTTCTTGGTCGTTGTCAGCATCTTCACAAGTACATGTAGCAGTGCTTTCTCAAACTCTTACGTTTCTCTTTTTCCTCTTCTTTTCTAATGGTAGATCTACGTTTCTGTATACCAAATTCATAAAACACAAACCAAGATTTTGTGCTTAATTAATGCAACTTTATACGAATTTGCAGGAGCCGTAGGGGTTACTTTTACTATTGTAAACGAATGTGGGTTCACTATTTGGCCCGCAATTATTAGCGTTCAAAGGTTAAATGAAACCGGATTTGAGCTCACAAAAGGTAGTTCACGCTCTTTTCAAGTTCCTACTGTCTGGGATGGTAGTATATGGGGTCGGACAGGTTGCAACTTCAATAGCTCAGGTAAATGGTTGTGTGCCACAGGTGACTGTGACACCAATGAATTCCTGGAGTGTGATGTAGATGAAAGGATACCACCCGCCACAACTGCTGATTTCAGTATCAATCAAAGCCAAACACACAGCCCGGATTTTTATGATGTCAACATGGCCCTGGGCTACAATTTGCCAATACTTGTGGAGGCGACTTCGGGTTCAGGTTCCAGTTTACGTAGTTGTGCGAAGACCGGATGTGTTGAAGACTTGAATCAGCGGTGACCAAGGGAGCTAAGTTCAGCCGATGGAAAGGTGTGTATGAGTGCTTGCTTAGCTTTTGGCTCTCCAGAGTATTGTTGCAGTGACTCGTTTTCGTCACCCTCATCTTGCAAACCAACAGCATATGCTCAGTTGTTTAGGTCAGCCTGCCCAAGATCTTATAGTACCTCATATGATCTACAGGCTACTACATTTTTGTGTAATGGTGCCGATTACACCATCAGATTCTGTGCCTCTGCCGATTCATTTTCAACAATAAAACTTGACAGTGAACTCAAGTCTACAGACCAGCTTGTTTCCAGGCATGGAAATTTCACATTAGGGTTCTTTGGTGAAGATTACAGTTACTTGGGAATTTGGTACACACGCGATGTTCAATCCACGAAAGTGTGGGTAGCTAATCCAAACGCACCGATCATATCCAGCTCAGGCGCTCATACCCTTTCCATCAGTGCCAAAACCGGAGACTTGATTATCACTGCAGGAGGGACAACTCTAATGAGCATCACCAATGTTAAAATTGCTCCAAATGCAAATGTGACTGCAACCCTTGAAGATAATGGTAATTTTCGGCTGATTAACCAAGTTGACAAAAGAGTTTTGTGGCAGAGTTTTGTTCACCCAACCAATGTGCTTTTACCAGGCATGAAGCTTGGGTATGACATGACAACAGGCCAGAATTGGACTTTGACTTCTTGGTTGAACAATGAAAACCCTAAATCAGGACCTTTTACTCTGAGTTGGGAACCCACTCAAAAAGGATCCCAGGGATTAATGATTCGACGACGTGGACGACCCTACTGGACTAGTGGGATTCTAAACAACCAAATATTTCAATATATGTTTTCATTGAACGGCCCAAGTAGTCAATCCATGTATAATCTCACTTCTGTATACAACAATAAAGCAAGATACTTTAGCTATGACAGTAATATTGCTGCTTTACCCATGTGGATCTTAACACCAAAAGGCCAAATTAGAGATATTAATAGTGCTACTGCTTGGAGCCCTGAGTTTTGTTATGGATATGATTCTGGTAATGGTTGCATCCTGTCGAGTTTGCCTCAGTGCAGGACAGAGAACGATAATTTTAGTAAAAAAAATGGGGATTTTGCTCAAGATAAGACAAAAAGTGCAACTGATGGGAACTCAAGCTTAAGCATTAACGATTGTTTTGTTAAGTGCTGGAATGATTGCAATTGTGTGGGGTTTAGTAGCAGTACCATCAATGGAAGTGGTTGTGTTGTTTGGACAGGTATCAATAGTTTTTTGGTTAATCCTCATGAGAACTCTACCTCAAAGTATGTGATCAGCCAAAATCTAGGCAATCTAATTACAGGTAATAATGTTGATTTCTAATGGTTTTTGCTACCATTTAAACCTCCTTAAAACTAAACAAGCTACACTGCAGGAAACAAAACACAAAAGAGCAAGAATTGGATATGGATATCCATTAGTGTTTCCATCACTTTTGTTTTCCTTTGTTTTGGGGCTTTATGGTATATAAAGAAGAGGAAGCGTAGACAAAAAGGTATAAAACCATCAACGACATTAAATCCAGCTTATGTTTGTACTTTCTAGTTCCATCTTTTGTGAAGTCACTGATGTTGATTTTAGAATACGAGAGACGGAAGAGAGATGAATATTTCGTTGAGCTGACAACTTCCGAAAGCTTCAAGGATGTACATCGGCTTGAATCAGATGGTGTGAAAGGAAATGATTTGTTATTATTTAGCTTTGCCTCTATCATGGCTGCCACCAATGATTTCTCAGTTGAAAATAAGCTTGGACAAGGTGGTTTTGGACCTGTTTACAAGGTTACACTACTGTCACTTCCATCTTTTATGATAAATCTTTTTGGTTCTTGCATTTGTATACCTATTATAACAAAAAGATATTCATGCAATTATGAGAACAGGGAAAACTAAGTGATGGGCGAGAAATAGCAATCAAAAGGCTTTCAAGAACATCAAGGCAAGGGCTTGTGGAATTCAAGAATGAACTAGTACTCATAGCTAAACTCCAGCATACAAATCTTGTTCGAGTTCTTGGTTGTTGCATTCACGGAGAAGAAAAGATGTTAATATACGAATATATGCCCAACAAAAGTTTAGATTTCTTTGTATTTGGTATGCATTGTTTAAAACATAAGTGCGTTCAGTTCTTTTACTTGTGATATCCGTTATGAACTCTTTCACTGGTTTCCAGATGAAAACCGAAAGGCAGAGTTGGATTGGCCTAAACGATTTATCATCATTGAAGGAATTGCTCAGGGGTTGTTGTACTTGCATAAGTACTCAAGAATGAAAGTTATTCATAGGGATCTAAAAGCTAATAACATTCTTTTAGATGAGAGGATGAACCCCAAGATTTCTGATTTTGGTATGGCAAGAATATGCGAGCAAAATGAAACCGAGGCAATGACTAACAGAGTGGTTGGAACATAGTAAGTCATCTCTCTTGAAGCATCAAAAATCCCGTTGAGTTATACGTTTTCATGGTCAATCTATCAGAAAAAAAGTTAGATTTAATATTACCAAGGAGAACTAGCACAATTATACAAATCTAGATAGAGTATCTTTTGGATGAATTTGTTGTTTTTCTGATTCAATGCTATCTATTTCTAAAAGGTCTTGGTGACTATTTTGTATTCAGTGGTTATATGTCTCCTGAGTACGCAATGAGGGGAATTTTCTCAATCAAGTCGGATATCTTCAGCTTTGGGGTCTTGATCCTGGAAATCGTCAGTGGAAGAAGAAATAGTAGCTTCGTCCATCTTCATGACACATACAGTCTTATTGGATATGTAAGTAAATTCAGATTCAAATTTTAACATCTTAAATGAAAATGAGACCATCTTACATTATTTGTTTACACAACTATATATTACGGTTGACGTACATATCCACGATGTCCAAACAGCTTAACTGATGCACGCTACAGAAGCAAAGGGGATTTTACTAGCTGACTTTTATTACGTATTAACCAGTTTAACCTTACCACTTTGTTGGAAAGTAATCAAGGGAAATTTGATCAAATCATTAATCATCTGTTAGTTATTTAGGCATGGGTGCTATGGCAACAAGGGGATACATTGGAATTCAAGGATCCTACATTGGGAAATACTTGTGATGTACAGCAATTCTTGAGGACTGTTCATGTTGCCCTTCTCTGTGTACAAGAGAATGCAGTAGATAGGCCAACAACATCAGAGATGATCTCCATGCTTCTCAATGAGTCTGTATCATTACCCATTCCAAACAGACCAACATTTCTGATAGGTGGAGGGGAGTCAAAGTCAACTTCATATGAAACCAAAGCAGAAGATTTCTCTGTGAATAATGTGACCATCTCTGATGTTGGGGGTCGATAGGGTATGAATGTAGCTTCAGCATATCATTCTTTGTGAAAAACTTTTCTGTAGTTATTAACTTTTGTAGGAGATGCAAATCCATTTTTCTATACTTGTTAATTGTTATATGCATGCAGAATTACCACTTCAGAATATGAAGCACCCTCCTTACAGGTCTATCCGTATTAAATATGTTGATAAAGAAGTAAAGTACATCTTGTGCAAGCTTCTAGATATAGGAGATTCATTATTAGCTCAATTTCAAAGCTTTCTCAGTATAGGAAGTCTGGTGTTTTTGCAGCCTGATTGGGGAAGACTGGTGACTAAATAGAAGCATCATCGAAATGTTATTGGGCTGCATTTGTGGAAATATATAACTAATTTATAAATATCATCCCTTCATAGATTTTTACATTCCCTTATTAGTTTAGGTTTTAAATCATGTTAATTTGTCTCTTCAATTTCCTCATGGTGTCAGTCAATTGTATAGACATTCACAAGAGTAACCAAACATGTTTAAATTTAGTCGAGCAGAATCTGAGATTTCATTCCATCACTTTCCCACAAAACCGAATATCCACCACCAAAAGCAACCTGTTGGTTGCCCCAAAGTCGAATCAATATGTATACAAGTTTGGGCACCAACCCATGAGTAAAAGCACCAAATAGAAAATCCAAGTGTTTATCTCAACAACTCGTCTAAAGCTATAGAAAAAAAAAATCAATAGAAAGGATTTAGTAATAATTTAGTGATTCGCCAACAATAACTATGATACACTATCGAGCCTCCATTACTGTAATGGTCATATTGTTTACAGAATAGTCCTCTAACTTTCTTTCAACTGAAGTTGACTTCGAGGCACTTCTGCCAATGAAGAATGCTGGCTGCTTTGGGAAAGGTAATGACATGGTGTCATTGTTAAGCATAGAAATCACATCTGACATCTCTGGCCTATCTAATGCGTTTTCTTGTACGCAAAGAAGTGCCACATGGATACTCCTTAATAATTGGTGTGTGACATGAGAATCTGCTAGAGTTGGGTCTTCTAACACCAATGCATCCCCTTTTAGCCATAGCTCCCATGCCTAAAACCATTCCAAAGTCTTCAATCATTACATGTAATTCGATTTTTCAAGTAAAAACAAAATACTAATCTAATGTAGGGGATGTAAAAAACGATATATTACAAGTGAACTTACGTATCCGATTAGATTGACGGTTTTGTCAAGATAGGAGAAGCTTGTATTTCTTCTTCCGCTGACAATTTCTAATGTTAAGACTCCAAAGCTGAAGACATCAGATTTCACCGAGAAAGTTCCTTCCATTGCATACTCGGGAGACATGTAACCACTGTGTAATGTATTTCACATAGATTCAGTACCTTAAAGACCAAATATCACTCATACTTTTGAGGTATGTAACTATGTATTAATGTCTACATGATCCCATTTTATTACCTCTTACATGTAGTATTGAAACTTAAAATCAATTATGTTCCAAACCTATGGTATAAGGTAATTAAACAGGACTATTTGACAAAATATCCAACATAGAGAAGTAAAAGAGAAAGAGCAATATTCTTACTATGTTCCAACCACCCTATTGGTAATTGCTTCGGTCTCATTTTGTTTGAAGATTCTCGCCATACCAAAATCAGAAATTTTGGGATTCATATTTTCATCCAACAAAACATTACTTGCTTTTAGATCCCTGTGAATAACTCGCATTCTCGAGTATTTATGTAAGTAAAGCAACCCTTGAGCAACCCCTTCAATAATGTTCCATCGTTTCGGCCAGTCTAGCAGTGTCTTTCTTGTTTCATCTATACATTAATTGTTTTAACAAGTCATTTAAACCATAGTTCTATTGAAGCTAAAATCATTGTAGAAATCTATTTTAGATCTTTTAATTTTTTTTTCTTACCAAAGAGAAAAAAATCCAAGCTCTTGTTCGGCATGTACTCATAAATCAACATTTTTTCTTCTCCACGAATACAACAGCCTAGAACCCGAACAAGATTTGTATGTTGAAGTTTGGCAATAAGAATGAGTTCATTCTTGAATTCCACAAGCCCTTGTCCCGATGTTCTTGAAAGCCTTTTAATTGCAATTTCCTGTTCATCACTAAGTTTCCCCTTTTCTCATAAACACATAAGATCTTGTTTAGTAAGATGGAAGAGAAAAAACTCAAAAACTATTAGCATTTTCTGAAAACACAATAAATATTAAAGATAAAAGTACCTTATAAACAGGTCCAAAACCACCCTCTCCGAGCTTATTTTCACTTGCGAAATCATTTGTGGCTGTCACTATGGTAGCAAAGCTGAACACCATCAAGTCACTTCCTTTTCTGCCATTACTTTCAAGATTACTTGCATCCTTGAAGCTGTCAGAAGCTATTAGCTCCAAGAAATATTCGTCATCTCTCTTTTGTCTCTTTTCCTCTTCAATAAAAAATCATGGCTTAGAAAGTGAAATTGTTTTAAACAACTCAAGCATACCAAAAGAACATGTAAAATGTCATATTGTCATACCTTCTCGTCTAAGCTTATTCTTCTTTAGATACCACAATAGACCAGCAGAAAAGAGAAGTAAAATAATGGAAGCAACAATGGGTGCCCAGATCCAGTTTTTAGCATTTCCTAGTGCATAATTAATTGAAGCTATATATTAATAATCAAACTGTATGTAGACTATATTCACGTTACTCAAGAGTTTAGACAATATGTTGGTTTAAAGCTATGAAAATACATAACAATTAACAAGTAACCCAGAAACCATTAAATCAATCACAACTGTTTACCTTTACTTGGATTTGGAGAAATCATCGGAATTGGAGAAATTAAAACATACTTTAATACAGCACTCCCTGTTGAACTGATTGAAAAGTTATCGACTGATTTAGCTCCAGTCCAAGTAATACAACCAGTTCCATTGCTACTTGTGGTAAGCCCGAGACAGCTACAATCATTCCAGCACCTCACCATACAATCGCTCATACTTAGGCTTGAATTGTCATCATACGAGCTGCTCGTCATAGGTGCAAAATCCCCATTCAACCAATTAAATTTATCATTCTCATCCCTACACTGAATCGTATTAGAATCTGCGATACACCCATCACCCGAATCATACCCATAACAGAATTCAGGAGTCCAAACTGCAAAGTTATCCGCATCTTGAACTCGGCCACCTGGAGTCAAAAACCACATGGGTTGAACGCCATTGATTCCATGGAAACTAAAGTACCTCTCTTCGTCATTGTATACATAACTGAGATTGTACTGGTATTTGCTAAATGGACTATTCAAAGCTGTCATGTATGGAAATGTTTGATTATTTAGATTCCCACTAGTCCAGTAGGGTTGACCTCGTCTTCGAATCATTAATCTCTGAGATGCTTCATCAGTTGGTTCCCAGCTCAAAGTAAAAACACCGAAATCAGCAATATCATTGCTCAACCAAGAAGTTAAGTTCCAGTTCTTTCCCGTTCTAAGGTCCGACCCAAGTTTCATACCTGGTAAAATAACGTTGGTTGGATAATCAAAACTCTGCCACAGAGTCCGGTTGTCAGTTTCGTTTTTCAGCTGGAAATTACCCGTGTCTTCGAGAGTTGCTGTAATATTAGAATCAGGACTGGATTGATTGTCGGATATGTTTACAAGTGTTGTTCCTCCAGTGGCGATGATCAATTTTCCGGTGTCTGGATCGATCATGAGGACACCAGAGCTGGATATGATCGGTGTGGATGGGTTGGCTACCCATACTTTGTAAGTTTCATCGTTGGTATACCAAATTCCTACATATCTGTAGTTTGTGGTGTTAAAGAACCCTAACGTGAAGTTGCCACCCGGGGAAACAAGCTGAGACGTAGTGAGGTTGAGTTGGTCACCAGCTTTGATAGTTGAAACACCGGTGGCCGGAAAACTGTTTATGATTAGGATCGTACATAGAATTGTGAAGATGATTAGAATATTCATTTTTTAGTAATTTGATGGAAATAAAGATACCTGAATTTGAATATTGAGAGTTTGATGCTTTAATATATTATAGGGTTCTCATCTATCAGGAGCCAGCAACGACTATTTCTCTTTGTCAACGAATTTGAAGAAAGACAGAGTCAGAAATAGTTTTAAATTGGATACCATGAAAGCAACAGTCAAAAGACTGGGCTCCTCATCGCCGATCACCGTTCCTTCGTGCACCATCTGGTTCTTTTTCGCTACCGGAGCTGAGTACCCTTCACCAGCAGAAAGGACCCACAACAATCGGACCACCTATAACCGCCGATAATGAGTATTGTCGATATCGGATTACCGTCCATCGGGGCCGGAAAGGCTGATGCAACAGGGAAGAGGATTCCCATCCATCCATTGGACCTCTATGTCCACAGTCTACACGTTTTCTATCCGCAGTACTCCGTAAACTTTGAATTGTGGGTGTGTTTAATCAAATATACAATAAATTGTAATAAAACTTGCTATGAGCTTGTTTCCCATGGAGTTTTTCAAATTTTTTGAGTGTTCTTTATTTAAAAAAAAAATGATTGAAAAGAAAAACTACATTGGATAATGAGACTTTTTAGTTTTCTTTAAACAAAAAAAGTTTTTAACATAAAATCTTAGGTAAATCACATATTTGTTTTGAAGTTTGCATAAAATAAAAAAATAAAAAAAAAAAACAAAAGAAAACAAAAACCCAAAAAATAAAATAAAAAAGTAGTTTTTTAGGAAATTTGGACGTTTCACGCAAATAAATAGTGTGAGTCCTTTTCCTAAGGGTTAACGTTTTTGTTAAGTTATATTTGACAAGAGATCATTTATGTAATTTGTTCTCGTGATATTAAATGGTAATTTTATATATTATTTATTATTATTTTTATATATTTTTTATGATTTAAATATTTTTGATGTTTTATTATTGTTTAATGTTTTTCTTTTACATTTTTTTGGCTTATATTTTTTTGAAGTTTTTTTAGAATATATTTTTTAATATTTTATTTGTCTGTATTTTTTAAATATTACATGACTACTATAATAATAATTTGTAACATCATTTAGTTAAATCATTTTTTTCTATTTCTTTTTTGTTCTTTTAATACAAATAAGATTATATAATTATTATTTTTTATTTAAATATTTAATTAAATAATATGGACAAGATTACGGGTGAAAGCGGTGCAGTTCGGTGCGGTTATTAGCAAAAACTTCACCACTAACCGCAAATGTGGTTAATCTATTTTCAAAACCGTTTGGTGCGGTTATTAGGCGGTTATTTTTGCGATGCCGTTTTGTTTTTTTTTTGTGTTTCGGTTATTAACCGCATGGATTTTATGCGTTTATTTTGTATGGTTTTTAACCGTACTTTGGAGTTCAAATAGTTTTAAGAGTTTAAATATATTATTTGTAATAATAAAAAACCATAAGGTATAAGACAATTAGCTTAAATTACAAACAACTAATATTTTAAAAACGTTAAATTACTAGTAATTAACAATAAATATCTTAAAATTGTCAAATTTCACAATTTTTAAAGTCAAACATAAGAAAAACCATACACTTTTGTATTTTAGAATTTTATCTTCTTTCATCCATAAAACTTATTTTATTTTTAGTATTTAATATATTAATAATTACTAATAAAAAATTGTATATAATATATGCAGTGCGGTTTTTGAAAACTAATAACCGCACCGCACCGCAAATTTTCGGTTTTTAAAAAACAAAAAACTTAACCATTATTATGTTTTACAGATACGGTTATATAATTACTATATTTGTAAAGCTCTTTATAAAAACAATTTGTAAAAAAGGTGTAAAAAGGGTTATAAACATGAATACAATTAATATAGATTAGGTATAAAATTATTTATCTTATCAGAATTAATATATATGCTAATCGGAATTTGAAATGTGTGTCTAAAAGTTTATAATGGTCACGGGAAAACAAACAAAAATGACTATTAGTAGTTTATGGTAACAATTTAATTGCTTATGTGTGTCAACAAGTAAACAATGTTAATGTTAAAGGAAGGAAACATTTGACTATCAGTAAGTTATAGTCATTGTTTGATAATAATAAACAAAGTATGTATAAGTAATTTATGATGACAACTTAAGTTATTATGTGTATTTAAAAATAAACAATGGTCATGCTAAAACAAAAAAACGTATAACTATTATTAATCTATCGTCACGTTTAAATTGTTTATGGGTGTTGAAAGGTAAACAATAATAATGCTAAAGGAAACATGTGACTATAAGTAATATATGGTCATTGTTTAATAATAATAATAATAATAATAATAATAATAATAATAATAATAATAAAGTACGGCTATATGTAATTTATGGTGACAATTTAAATTATTATGTGTGTATAAAAGTAAACAATAGTCATGGTAAAACAAAATATGTATGACTATTAGTAGTTTATGTTCACACATTAATTAATTGATTGTGTGTGTCGAAAGTAGGGATGAGCAGCGGAACTGAGTACCCGTTTACGGAATCGGAACCGCCTCGGAACCGCCTTAAATGGTTCTGGTTCCGGTTTTCATTTTTATGGAACCGCTACCAGCTGGGTACCTTTCGGAACCGCTATATATATATATATATATATATATATATATATATATATATATATATATATATATATATATATATATATATATATATATATCACAATTACGTTATACAATATCCTCCTCAATAACATCATTTAAAATTCTAGAATTTTAAATAATTTGTTTTGAACCTTTAAATATCCTTATATAATCACTTTAAAAATAAACTATCAATTTTTAAAATGAATTTATAGATAGTATACATAAGTTGCTATTAGTTTCAAGTTAAATTCTAACTCATAGAAATATTTGTTTAGCTATGGACTTCAATTCTTTGAATGTTAATTCATAGATATACTTTTAAATGTTTTAAAATATAACAAATTTAACGAACCGCGTACCCGCTAGTGAAACTGCAACCCGTCGGTTCCGGTTCCAACATTTTAGGAACTGCTGGTTTCGTTTCTAGATAATTAAGGCGGATACCCACCTACACTCATCCCTAATCGAAATACATTAATTGATTATGTGTGTCGAAAAGTAACGATATTGACGTTAAAGGAAAAACATGTGAATATAAGTAATTTATTGTCATTGTTTAAGAAAATAGTGTACAACTATATGTTTTTTATGGTCACGGTTAAAAGGAAAAACTCTTGTAGCGTAAGTATTTTTATGGTGACAGTATAAGTTCTTATGTGTGTCTACAAGTATACAATAGTCATGTTAAAATAAAAAAACATATGACGTTATCGTTATATTAATTGATTATGTGTGTCGAAAAGTAAACAATACTAACCATAAAGGAAAAGACATATGACTATAAATAAGTTATGGTCATTGTTTATAAAAAAAACAACGTACGTGTTGGGTTTGAAATAGTTGGAAGGTGTCGAAGCGTCATATGTCTTTTGTTTGTATCGAAGTCAGTATTGTTTATTTGCATAAGGGTATATTGTAATATCGAAGCGTGAATGTATAATCCCTTATGTATTTTTTGTATGCTTTTGTCATCCCTATAAATTGGGGTTTGATACTAGAGTTACAGTATCTTTTGGAGTCTTCGCTACTTGTACTCTACATTTTCTCTGTATCTTCCAAAAGCGTTATATTGAGCCAAACATATATTATTTACGATTCCATGCTCTTATTTGATTCATACTGTGATTTCATTTCATACATTCGATTCATAACAACTACATTTGGTATCAGAGTAGGATTCATATAGTTTTTCTTTGATTTTATCTAGTTTTTAAAAAGTTTTTTGAATCTCGTTCTAGATTCAAAATTTCCGCACTTTTGATTCTAAAAATTTATTCAGATCATCTAATTTGATTCGATTTTGTTCTTAGTTTGTTAATCGAGTGTTCCATGTTTGATTTCGGGAAATTTCATCCATCAGATCTTAATTTTTTAAGTTGTTTCCAAAAACTCATCCGTACAACAATGGCATATGTCAATATGAACACAATGACTTCTTATTCACATTTCGTTGGTTCCTCATCCAAAATCCTTATGTTGATCCTTGAGTACTATGATCAATGGGAGGATAAGATGAAAGACTATCTGAATGGAATTGATGAAGATCTCTAGAAATGTATTACTGGTAATATCGGATCTTCGGGTTCATTACAAAATATTGGATATGTTGCTTCCAGTCCCAAAGTTTCTAACCAAGCAGAAAGAAAGAAAATGAATGAGATGAAATGCTTGCATGAATTAAGAGGTGCTCTTCCACCTGTAGTGTACAATTATGTCCGTGGTTGTTCTACTGCTAAAGAAATTTGGGATACACTGAAGGAGAAGTATCAAGGATGCGAGAAAACCAAAAAGAGTTATGTTAAGCAATGCATGCTTGAGTTAGGTAAATTTAAGCAGAAAGAAGGTGAGAAAATTAAGCTCTATTACGATTGTCTGATTGAGTTAATCTTCAAGTGTAGCAGATACAGAGTAAACAGATCAACAATGGAGTACAATGTAACTTTTCTCATGGGGCTTCATAAGGAGTGGCGCAATGTTGGTCTGATGATAAGAACTCAACAATGTTTCGACAATCTCTCTCTTAGTGATCTTTACAATTAGTTGAAGGCTCGTGAATGGGAAGTAAATGAGATTGTTGAGGAAATAGGAATCAGTTTGGGTGGTCCTCTAGCCTTGATGTCTAAAGTGACAAACAAAGAAGTTGAGATTGAGACTACTGAGAATGAAGGATCAGAGGATGAAGGACTGATTGTGAATTTTAATGATGAAGCAATAGCATTTTATTCAAATAATAAAGTAAAAAAAGCTTTTCAAGAAACCTTTCAATTCGAAGCCTAAAACAAGTGATTCGAAAAATAGTCCATTTGTAAAAGGAATGACAGGGGAGAAGAAAGTGAAAAAGAATGAAGTTAGGACTAAGGATGCAAAGATCGAGAAAATGCTAAAGGGTGACTCTGGGTTCGATTGCCATTACTGCAATGGTACGAACCACATGGCGAGTGATTGTATGATGAGGAAGAGAGATGAGAAAAAGAATAGGATAAAGGATGAATCTTATTATGTGGTAAGGCTCAAAGAGGTAAGGGCAAAGACAAAATGGTTGTCTTTGGTGGCCAAATGAAGCTGTGATAAAGAAGGCACATATCAGATCTGGTCTTCTGGATCTGATGATGAAGAGATGTGTAATCCAACACATGGTGCCATGTTTTCTGAGTTCGAAGAAGGACATGAGGGTGAATAGAGAGTGACATGCAAGTGCTTCATCACTACTAGTGAAGACAAATCTCCGATGATGTCTAAGGTACGTACTCTTCTCGAATCCTTTAAT